AGAGAAAGATGTGTTCTAATTTTGAAATGAGGAGTTAGTATATATTTAACAGAGTGTATTTTTGGGAAGGATATTATCCATTTGGCCAATTGTGTTTTGTAGGTGTGGTTCTGTGTTAAGAGTTTAGAAAAAGTATCTGAAGTATGGGTAGGCGCTTGTTAGCGACTGTAAAAAACTGTAAAGCCAATCTTTAAATAAACTTGACTTACTTAAGCTTTGAATGTGTTCAGAATAGCATAAGCAACCAAACAGATGCAAACAGAGACAGAACAAATAAATATTTAAAGGCTTTAACAACATCTTTGAATTCTGGCATATCCACCTTAAGTCCTAAACCACCTTAAAGCAGGTTTGGCTAAAGGTTGTCACATCTTTGGGTCCATCTGAGCTCAGAAGCAGAGCAGATTGTTTCTGACTGAAATTAATCTCACTGCATTTCTGATGTTTGTCAAGTTTGTGGATTTTTGCGACAGGAAGAAAGAAATCCTCCCACAAGCAGAGGAGCAGAAAGTCCTGAGACATCAGATTGACCTCTGTCCACAAAATCTGAATCCACCAGGTATCATCCACCTGTCCAGGTGTGTCCATCAGCTTTGAGGCAGTGACAGCTGAGGAACCTGCAGTTTGTAGTAAATGCACTCTGTAGTAGGAGCAGCAGATCGACGGGCGAGCTGTATCTCCTCGTACTGAAACACATCAGCAGCACTGAGTACAGGACAAAGTAGCACTGAAGGAGAACAATGAGCATGAGCTGCAGGGTCACCTGTACACTTTGAGTTACCTGTGGAGCCTCCAGCCTCTCACTGGTCCCAGCTGGAGGGAGGTTTGCCTGATATTTGCTGATTCTCCTCTTCAGAGACAACGATACACAACTCAGACCTGCCAACAGACCGTCAGAGGAGTCACTTCACCTTCACACTCACATCAGTACTCATCACATACAACACATTTCTCCACTGTGCAGAGAAACCTTTCAACATCTGGCACAGCAGAAGCACAGCTGAAACATCTGGGAAAACATAAAGAGAGGAAGTTGAGTTTTTAAACTGTGACTGGAAGCTGCTGCAGGTCTGAACTACACTCTGATCAGAAACAAGTATGAGCTCTAATTCACAGTAACACTGATCTCTTTCTACACAAACAGCAAACTGCTGCTCTGCTTGGAAGGTGAAACTCTAAAAGAAGATGAGCTTATATCTCACACTCTAAATAAAAGACAAGAAAAACATTCAAAAGTTAAACTTTCAGCCTTCAGGAAGTTCAGTTAGCTCCTCCTCCCCCAAAATGTGACACCTGATAAGTCTGTAAAAGCTCCTTCCTCTGACTCTCTCTCAGCCAGCAGGCTCTGCAGGGCCTCAGTGTCCCCACACACATTATTACTTCTTTCATTCATTGTTATTAAAGCATTTAAACCTTATTTTTTGATTTTTATGAGATCTCTGCAGCTCCACCTTTAATATAAACATGTGGTCATGCATTTAAGAACAATAAGAAAAGCATAATAAGTATTTCACTAGCTGGGACCATGACTGCATTTTAGGTTTGACAGCGTTTTACTAGGTAAAGCAGGTGAATTGCTTGGACATGAATTGAGCTGCGGTTCGGGGAACACATCGAAGGGGACGGGCGACGGCTCCCGGGCCTGGCAGGTTCCAATAAATAAAAGTGAAAAAGTTAAAGAATTGAAAAGAAGAAGGAGGGTGGGAGACGTAAACGAGAATGACAGCTTGCAGAACTGGGGGAACCTATGAGAACCGGAAGAAGTGTGTTTGGAGGCGTGGTCCCGCTCCTGAAATTCTGATACACTCCATTACAACAGGTCTTTAATTTAGGCCCCACAAAACTACCACTAAAGAACAATTTTAGATGATTGTGGTTTATATTAGTTTGTACTAATCATCAGAGCTGCAGCTGTGAAATACTGATACTACTGTAATTTTTTCACTAATTAATCTTTTTACATAAAACATCGGCATCCATACATCAAGGACACTACTGATTATGACTGATGACAATAATAGTCTAGCTAAATCTTTTGCAGATCTTAAACTTGAGCTCAAACATGTTTCAAAAAATAGCTTCATTACTTCTCTGAAACGCGATCTGATGGTTACACGTCTGCACCTCTAAATGCACCACGATGTTGCACGCTGTGGAGGTGTGCTGATATTAATAGAAGAGCAGAGAGACCACAAAGATTTAGAGAAAGAAACAGACTCACAGATTACCACAAGAACGAGTGCAGCATTCAGGCTCAGAGAGATGAAAACGACACGATCACTCTGCAATGCATTCTTGTTAGATTGCTGGTCTGGGTGGTTACTGGCGGTGACTGTGACAGATGTTGCAGACACAGCTGGAGAGAGAGACAGATTGCCAAAGAAATTAATGAGTGTATGAAGAAACTCATAAAGAAGCAAACTGAGCTGACATCTGAGGCTTTTTCAGATGATTAGTTTAAGATGTTTGTGATCTGCATTTTAAAAGTTTGAGATTAAGTTGTGAACTGGCCCAGCCATCAACACCTTTTAACAAATTGGTTCCTTTGAAGCCTCAAAGTGTGGCCGATTGTCGGGCTGTGTGTTACACAAAGGTACAAAGTTACTGTAAGAAGCTGCCTTGAGTTTCAGTGACGACCTCTCAGACACTGACTAAAGGAACAAAATTGACCTGGTTGTAAGAACACAGAGTTCTGCATAACATTTGAAGCCTGTTTATTTTCAAAGGTCTAGACCGATCTGACACTTAAAACAGTCGGGGTGGCTGTAGCTCAGCAGGTCACCTGCTAATTATAAGGTTGGTTCGATCCCTGAAACTGAACCACAGAATGTAACTAGGAAAACACGAGGAAGACACTTGTTTTTAAGAACTACATGATGTTGTCTTTCAGTCTCAGACATGCTTGTTAGTCTCACAGTTGTTCTTGTGTAAGATTTTTTTTTCAGGTTTACAAGACAGAGCAGCACGGTGGCACGGTGGTTAGCACTGTTGCCTCACAGCAAGAAGGTCCTGAGTTCAATTCCACCATCAGGCCGGGGTCTTTCTGTGTGGAGTTTGCATGTTCTCCCCGTGTTTGCGTGGGTTCTCTCCGGGTACTCCGGCTTCCTCCCACCATCCAAAGACATGCAGCTTGTGGGGATAGGTTAATTGGATAATCCAAATTGCCACTAGGTGTGAATGTGAGTGTGAATGGTTGTCTGTCCCTATGTGTTAGCCCTGCGACAGACTGGCGACCTGTCCAGGGGGTACCCCGCCTTTCGCCCTATGACAGCTGGGATAGGCTCCAGCGCCCCCCGCGACCCTGAAAAGGATAAGCGGAAGCAAATGGATGGATGAAGACAGAGCATGATCCCAGGAAATAAGATCCTGGCCTTAACGCAGTTTTTCACGTATTGCTGCTCACACACACCTAATTTAGATTTTTTTCAAATGAACCTTTTTGTGATATGTTTTAGGGAACAAAGACCAAACGGCAAAAATGGACAATTTGTTGTTATCCAGACACACTGATTCTATTTAAAGACGTCTTCCTTTAGCTGAAAGATAACTCTTATGTAGCCAAACTATGTGAAACTTCAGGTGTGAAATTTGGACATATTTGTGCTTCTGTAGTTTTCAGCATTACAGTAAAAAACCCCAAAACTTTTACTAACCTGAGACGAGGCTGAAAGTCTCCACAAACTGAACGCTGCCTCCTCTCTTGATGCCACAGAAGTAAAGCCTGCAGTCCTCTGCTGTCAAGTTTTTAATCATGAGTTTGTTTCCCAGGATTGAAAATTTGGTTTCAAAATCAGGAGAGTAGTAGGTAGAGTCTGCTGAAGAAAAACTGCGGCCGATACATGCTCTGAACTGACTGTGGATCTCCATGTACCAGTATGGGTCTGATGTCTGATTGGAGCAGGTTAGAGTGACATTGGTCCCCAGCTCTCCTCTGACCTCGGTCACGTTCTCGGCCTCTGCACAGAGCAGAAGCACCAACAGGATCCTCCACAGGAGAACCATGATCAGCTTCAGCATCCACAACAAGACGGAGTCGTCTGAAAGCAGCTCAGCTCTGATGGACTCTGACACAGAAGTGCTCTACACTTCCTACTTCAGGCGGTGATTATGTCGTGTGCGACGCCTTAAGACAAACCACAAATACCAAGTAACTCTACAGGAAGTGAAACTTGTGGGAAAGACAAAACACAAGGGGAATAAAATGTCATTCCAATACAGCACATTTTAATTGAAATCCTAACAAAGAACAATAACAATTATATCAAAGTAAATAAGAAACCTGCTATTGAATTAAACTGAAAAACAGAAAAGACACGGGGGTATAGCAGAGGCTAAACACCAGCAAACCATGCAACAACACACACGCACACACACACACACACACACACACACACACACACACACACACACACACACATACATACATATATTTATATATATATAAATTCTTTGCCAACATTAAGCATAATGCTAACATATTAAGAAACACAAAATAATTGAATAATCCATCAAACCAGTTGCAATCAAAGCTGAACTCTAATATTGGGAATATCTATTGAAACACACAAAGCAACACACACATAAATAAATGCATGAATGAATAAACAACTAAATAAATAATTTTATATACAAAACACAAAGCAATTACAAACCCTAGAACAAAACCCAGAGACCCTAACCCTCGGTCCGGCATGCTTCACAAACAAATGTTTTTTGTTTTTTTTTGCTCATGCGGGCTGCTTGGCACAGTTCCTGTGACACCACCGTGGGCAAATGTCACAGCCAATCTGAATTACACAAAAAAACACAGTATTTGTTGAAATGGTTAAATAAATATGTAAAAGGTTGCAAAATACTCGTATCATAAAGCAGTCCACCATGCCTTACAACTACAGTAAGCCGTGTGAAGTGTTTACATGGTCTGTGAATTACATTTTGTTATGCGATTTATTTTTTTCACCTTTTTTCAGCTGACACTAAGAGAGAAACCTAAAACATAAGCATTTAGCTAGTGAGTGTCACCGTCACGGTTCCCACAGTAATGGGTTACAGCACAAGTCAGTCAGGTCATCTTGAACAACAAATAATTTACTTTTAATAATCATTAACTCTGTTTGCATGACTAAATAATAAGATTATAGCAATACTATATAAATATTCCAAACACGTTCAAGCTAAACGTTTGTAGTTTATCATTTAATTTATATTTGTAATGATAACTGTATTCTCAAGAAGCCAGTCTCTTGTCTCAGGGTTGCAATGCTTGAAGCTGAGTTACTGAACTCTACTGGCACATCATCCAAGATGACCTCTGCAAACTGTGAATAAAATATGTAACAATGCAGTCATTATTTGAAGTAACATTTGGTTTTCCAAAAATTGCATTCATATTACAGTTTTTGCTCGTTGCTTGAACACTATAAACCCATGCTTAGACTAAAGTAACACAACTTGAAGTTTTTGTTACCATACCCCAAACACATGTACCCATACCTTAAACAAAAGTGCTGCTTTGCACTCTGGTTGCAATTATGCAACACACTTACTCCTTTATGCAACACACATGGTCCTGCATACTACACTCTATTTCATACATAAGACACTTCGCTCACAAAATGAAATTTCAGGGTGCCATTTGGAAAACACATGTATCCAAAATACAAAACACATCGGGTAATTGCAACCACTCAAATATACACCTGAAGGCACTTACTTGCAAAACCGAACACCAATTAGCCAACTACAAAAAGCCCTCAGCGTAGCCATTTCAAAAACTTTGCAAGCATGGATGGAGGGAGAACAAGAGGAAGAGGTAGAGGAGGAGGAGGAAGAGGAGGAGGAGGAAGAGGAGGAGGAAGCCGAAGAGGCCATGCACGGACCATTTTTTTTTTTGCTTTATCTGAATTCATGGTACTGCAATGTACAATATTGAGTAGGTCTATTTGCGTTTTCGGTTGTTTGGAAATGTGTCTCCTGTAAATGTGCCTTCTGAATAAACAATGGAAATCAAGGACTGCAGTGTTTTATGTAAAGTAGACTAGTGTGTTCCCCCTGATCTGTAAGTGTTTGCATATGATGCAGGTATGTGTCATTTTGTCAACAGAGTTACATTTTGACAAAGGAATGTTAGGTTTTGACAGCAGAGTTTAGGTTTTGGGAGTGGAGTTTCAATTTGGCACAGATGTGTATGGTATATTTCCCAGTGTTGTGCCATGTTTACTTGTGTGTACAGTTTTGGCACAGAGAGCGGAGTTTTGCAAAATGTGTTCAAGCAGTGGGCAAAAACTGTAAGTGTTGAGACACTGGAGGAGACGGAGTGGAGACTACAACCAAAAGAAAGCGGTTTTATTGAGGCTGGTAAACATGAACAAAACTCCAGCAAAGACAGAACAGGAGCGACAACTAAACTGGGAAACTAATTATGAAAACTGTTATGAAACTATGACAATTCTGAACCAATTAAGATGACTATCACGACTACGATGACTACAATGACTGTTCTGATGAGACGTGACGGTAAAATACACAGATGACCTGACAGCAAACAAAGGACGACAGAGGTCTTAAATACAGACACGAGGTGATCGGGGAAAGTGGAAACACATGGGCAAACAGCTAACTTAAATGAACAAAATGACATCACAGGAGAAGAGTAAAATTAAACCCTTTGAACAAAGAAGCACAAGGTTTTCAAAATAGAACAGCAAACATGACAACACGGCATGACATAAACTAACAAGGGAGGCTCAACAACAAGAAACACATATCACGCTGACTCGGAGGACAAGAACTGGCTTACACAAGGGGACATAGATGAAAACCTAAAGTAAAATAACACTCTATTACTTCCGAACTTAGGATACCAACACAAGACTCAACATATTATCTATATACAGTGGGGCAAAAAAGTATTTAGTCAGCCACCGATTGTGCAAGTTCCCCCACCTAAAATGATGACAGAGGTCAGTAATTTGCACCAGAGGTACACTTCAACTGTGAGAGACAGAATGTGAAAAAAAAATCCATGAATCCACATGGTAGGATTTGTAAAGAATTTATTCGTAAATCAGGGTGGAAAATAAGTATTTGGTCAATAACAAAAATACAACTCAATACTTTGTAACATAACCTTTGTTGGCAATAACAGAGGTCAAACGTTTACTATAGGTCTTTACCAGGTTTGCACACACAGTAGCTGGTATTTTGGCCCATTCCTCCATGCAGATCTTCTGAGAGCAGTGATGTTTTGGGGCTGTCGCCGAGCAACACGGACTTTCAACTCCCGCCACAGATTTTCTATGGGGTTGAGGTCTGGAGACTGGCTAGGCCACTCCAGGACTTTCAAATGCTTCTTACGGAGCCACTCCTTTGTTGCCCGGGCGGTGTGTTTTGGATCATTGTCATGTTGGAAGACCCAGCCTCGTTTCATCTTCAAAGTTCTCACTGATGGAAGGAGGTTTTGGCTCAAAATCTCACGATACATGGCCCCATTCATTCTGTCCTTAACACGGATCAGTCGTCCTGTCCCCTTGGCAGAAAAACAGCCCCATAGCATGATGTTTCCACCCCCATGCTTCACAGTAGGTATGGTGTTCTTGGGATGCAACTCAGTATTCTTCGTCCTCCAAACACGACGAGTTGAGTTTATACCAAAAAGTTCTACTTTGGTTTCATCTGACCACATGACATTCTCCCAATCCTCTGCTGTATCATCCATGTGCTCTCTGGCAAACTTCAGACGGGCCTGGACATGCACTGGCTTCAGCAGCGGAACACGTCTGGCACTGCGGGATTTGATTCCCTGCCGTTGTAGTGTGTTACTGATGGTGACCTTTGTTACTTTGGTCCCAGCTCTCTGCAGGTCATTCACCAGGTCCCCCCGTGTGGTTCTGGGATCTTTGCTCACCGTTCTCATGATCATTTTGACCCCACGGGATGAGATCTTGCGTGGAGCCCCAGATCGAGGGAGATTATCAGTGGTCTTGTATGTCTTCCATTTTCTGATGATTGCTCCCACAGTTGATTTTTTCACACCAAGCTGCTTGCCTATTGTAGATTCACTCTTCCCAGTCTGGTGCAGGTCTACAATACTTTTCCTGGTGTCCTTCGAAAGCTCTTTGGTCTTGGCCATGGCGGAGTTTGGAGTCTGACTGTTTGAGGCTGTGGACAGGTGTCTTTTATACAGATGATGAGTTCAAACAGGTGCCATTCATACAGGTAACGAGTGGGGGACAGAAAAGCTTCTTACAGAAGACGTTACAGGTCTGTGAGAGCCAGAGATTTTCCTTGTTTGAGGTGACCAAATACTTATTTTCCACCCTAATTTACGAATAAATTCTTTACAAATCCTACCATGTGAGATTCATGGATTTTTTTTTCACATTCTGTCTCTCACAGTTGAAGTGTACCTCTGGTGCAAATTACTGACCTCTGTCATCATTTTAAGTGGGGGAACTTGCACAATCGGTGGCTGACTAAATACTTTTTTGCCCCACTGTAATTAGAATGCTGGGTCACAGACACAGCCCCTGACAGAGCTATATGCTGAATGTTCACACATCATCTTAACTGACATACGTATATACAGTCACTGTACACTTTATCAGTTACACCTGAAAATCTGCTTGTTAACACAAATACCCAATCATGTTCCAATCACATGGCAGACGTGCATTGCTATGTAGACAAAATGACCTTCTAAGGTTCTCACTGAGCACCAGAATAGGGAAAAAATTAGATTGAATTGACTTTGTTGTTGATGCCAGACGGGCTGGTCTGAGCATTTGTGGAACTAATGATCTACTGAGATTTTCACAGAAATATCTCATAACAGAATGATCCCAAAGACATAAAACATTCAAAGAGTGGGAGCTGTTTGGGAAACCTCTCTTGATGATACATACCAGAGAATGCCCAGAGTGCTACAACTGATAGGAGGACTACATAATTTAAATTTAAATTCAAATTTAATGAATTAATGAATTAAACACAACATAACTAACCATTTACAACCAGGGATGGCAAAAGAGCATCTCTCACCAAGACCTGAGGCAGTTCACAAGGAAAATGGAAGTCCAGTATGTT